GTCCCACTTCCAAATCGAGCCCACCGAGGACGGCCGTCAGCGGCGTCTTGTTTTGACCTCCGACTCCATGCCCGAACACTCCGACGTCTTCCTTATCGATCACGCCTGGACTTTCCGCCTCTCCGACGCTTACAAGCAGGTTCTTTACTTCTCTAGCCGTCCTGATTTTCTAGTGCTCTGTTTGGTTTCCGATAAAAATTCGAAAAGAATGAAGCTTTAATATTTTGGGGTTTGTTTGGTTATGTAGTTGATGGAAGTTCCTGGGTTGGCTGAGAGGATGGCGGCGATAATGTGTGTGGATGCTGATTTGAATTCTGATTCAGAAGGGGACCGTTTGAGTGAGGGCAATGCAAAACGGAGCGTTTTGGAGGTACTGGAAAATGAGATTACTGAAGCCAACGGGAACGTAAGGTGGTTGGAGCTTGAGGACCTTGACATCGATGATGAAACGCTGTCGTGCTTAGACTTGTCTACTAAGTGCCCAGTATGTCATTTCTAAAGCTCTATAAACCCAATCAGAAGTGTTCGAAAAATCGGCATAGGCGCTGCCGCGCTAGGCGGCCTGGGCGGGTCGGGTCCTTTTTTTTTTCTTTTCCCCTGACTTTAAAGAAGACCTACCTCAAGCTGCCTCTCTCCCCTCTCTCTCTCCTCCTCAAGCAGTTCAAAATAAATTTATAATTTATAATACAAAATAATTATCAATCCATTTATTAAAGAAAAAAAAAAAAGAAGGTCTAGGTGCGCCTACCGCCCAGCGATTTTTTGAACATCTTGCAGTATTTTTTTTTTCCCCTAAAGTCTAGTATGTTTATACTTTCAGGGTTTGTTTGCATTATCCTTGTATGGAAATAAGCTTGAGAATGTGGAAGTAGTTGTTCAGGAAGTTACCAAGTTCAAAAATCTAAGAGCTCTATGGCTGAACAATAACCCAGTTGTACAAAATGGGTAAGCATGCTTATTAATATTCAGAAAGGTGTTAATGTCTACTTTAACTGAGCCACTTCTTTACTGAGAGATTTTGTTTTGTTTTGTTTTGTCAACTCAGTGGTGATGAATTGGCAGATAAAGTTCTTCGAGAATTGTCGAATCTTGAAATATATAACTCAAAGTTTACCTCCAACTATGGTGAGTGGGCATTGGGGTTTTGTGGAGGAGTGTATGGTAAGGAAAATCCAGGGAGCGTTGACCAGCCTAAAAACACATTGAAGCAAGTCACTGATCTTGATCTGTCAAATAGATGTATTCACAATTTGTTCAATAAGGTTCAAGCATTTTCTATATATCTCTCTCACTTTTTTCATAAACCATTTTACTATTTCTGCTGACGAAGTCTGATATTTTATTTTACATAAAATGGTAAAGGATGATGGTGTATTTTTAGAGTCAAAGAACATACTTAGATGATTGGTAAACTAGCAGCATTCACTGATATGGTTACTTTTTCTTTTTCTTTGTTAGGCATTTACACCTCTTCAGCTTCCATGTCTTTCATACTTGAATCTTCGGGGAAATCCATTGGAAGAGACCGCAGTGGGTGACTTGTTGCAGTTACTCAGGAATTTTCCTTCTTTACAGTCCCTGGAGGTAATATCTTCAGGAATACTTTTCTCTAGCATAAAGGTTCCTTTGTTGAACAAACCACTTTGACTATAATTAAAATGTAAACTTATTTTATAGGTGGATATTCCTGGCCCTCTTGGAGAAAGTGCTGTTCAAATTCTTGAATCTCTTCCTAGTCTTTCAGTATTAAATGGTGTCAATGCATCAAAAATATTTGAAACTGAAAAGGATGTGGTTGACTCAGTGCTTCAGCCACGTCTTCCTGAGTGGACTGCAGATGAGCCACTTACTGATCGTGTTATAAATGCAATGTGGCTATATTTAATGACATATCGACTTGCAGATGAGGAGAAGATCGACGAGACCTCTGTACTGTATGTTTCTCAATCTCAAAGAAAACAGATTTCTCGATGATTCATGCATTGAAAGTGTCCATGAACATAAGCGGTAGATTATTAAAGTATTTTCAAATAGAAAAGCATAGTTGTAGTGGAGCATTGCATATCGTTGTACTGTGGTTCTGCTTGATTGGTGTTTTGTTGTATCTCTTGAATAATTGAGATCACTATCGTCACAGAATAAATAAATTGCACATCCATGAACAAACAGCCAATTATTTACTTTGAACTGATGATCCTCTGCTTTGTTGTTCTTTGTAGATACGTGATGGATGAGCTGGGTTCAGCTTTGCAGCATAGTGATGAGCCAAATTTCAGAGTGGCACCTTTTCTCTTCATGCCAGAGGGGACACTAGCATCAGCTGTGAGGTTGTCATTTTATTTTGTTTTATTTTTCCATTTGCTTTTCTGCTTTTCTTACGAATTTTCCTCGTCATCTTAGATGAACTTAGTATCCAATTTATAATTGTACTGTAGAAATTTCATTCTTGTTGTTTGTATGGCAAAATTGGCAATTTGAAAGGTAGATGCAGAAACCTGGGTTCTTTGGAGTAATGGATTTACTTGCCTATGTTCCTTTTGGTCCTTTACATAGGTCCATGGAGATGTTGTATGCATAATTTGTACTGATACATCTTTGCCTTTGGTGTAATTTGTATGAGAAACTACCACGGTAATTAAAATAATTTATTGGTTGTATTATTTTCAGCTTCTCGATATTATGGCCAATCCAGAATGTTCAAAAAGGTTATGAGTGCACTCGTGATTATCTTTTTGGTATTGGAGAGGACAAGCAACGTTCTGCCAGACTCACAGCTTGGTTCAATACACCAGAGAATTATTTTATTAGAGTATGGTTACCTAATAAAACATTAGGATTTGGTTTGAGCTATAATTTATTTTCAAATTGTTGCTTGTCGAAAATTTTGATATTAATTGACATTAATTTCTGCAGGAGTATGAAAAGCACCGGCGGAGCTTGAAATCAAAGAATTTAACCTCTCTGACGTTGGATTCATGTCCAACAAGAAGCCTGCATCGTAGTGAAACCTCGGCTTTACGTGTGTACACTGATATACCTCAAGTAGAAGAACTGTTGACACGTCCTGAGTTTGTAATCAGTAAGTATTGTAATTCAGTTTTGCATGACTTTCTAGGCTTAACTTCTTATGTACTTGTTCAGGAACTCTCCTTTTAGAATATTTTGAGTGTGTGTATTTTATGTTGCCATTCTCTGATAGATCTCTCTCTCTCTCTCTCTCTCTCGGTTTTGGGTGGTGCTTTCAGCCACTGATCCGAAGGATGCAGAAATCATATGGACGTGTACACAGGTGGATGAGGATATGAAGAAGGCTACAGGAATAACAGACAATCAGTACATAAACCAGTTTCCTTTTGAGGCGTGTATTGTGATGAAACATCATTTGGCAGAGACTATTCAGAAGGTTAAGAAACCAGATTCACATTGGATGTAAATGCTAGTGTTAATTCTCTTCTACATGATCCTTCTTTGTCTATTGTCCGTCAGTTTAAAATATCTTAAGTTCTCTCCCTTCAAGACAATCGTCTGCTTATTATAATTGTTTACCAAAAGTGAAATAACAGAATCTCTTTACCCCCTATTAACAGGCGCATGGATCTCCCGAATGGCTGCAGCCTACATATAATCTTGAAACACATCTGTCTCAACTTATTGGTGACTATTGTGTACGTAAAAGAGATGGACTTAACAATCTATGGATCTTAAAACCTTGGAACATGGCACGAACTATAGATACAACTGTCACTGGTAATATATCTGCTATCATACGGCTCATGGAGACTGGACCAAAGATATGTCAGAAGTATATTGAGCACCCAGCTTTGTTCCAAGGGAAAAAATTTGATATCCGCTACATAGTTTTAGTCCGGAGTATGAACCCTTTGGAAATATTTCTTTCAGACACTTTCTGGGTATGCACGTTGTCTATGTTGAGTAGATTCTTTCTGATTTCCAATCATGAATGGATACTTTTACCTTCTGTGGAGTTGATGGGAAGAACATCCCTTCAGATCTTTATTGTTTGAATTATTATCTGTAAGAATTCTCTTTTCAACTAGTTATTTTCATCTCCATTTCAGGTTAGATTGGCAAACAACCAATATTCTTTAGACCAGCACAGTTTGTTTGAGTATGAGACTCACTTTACTGTTATGGTATGTTCTGCACAGCATGCCGTAGCATAAGGATTATACTTCAGTTTTTGAATTATTCAACAGGACTTTATATGATGTTAATTCATTTCATAACCACTTCACTGTGGCTTTCAGAACTACCGAGGGACATTGAATCACAAGAACACATCTGAATTTGTGAGGGAATTTGAACAGGAGCACCAAGGTATAAGGGGCATGTCCAGTTCGTATTCGTTTGCTTGCTTCACCCTCAAGAGAAAAGGTTTATAGGCTTTTAGCATGCTAAGCATACTTGACTAACTTCTTTCGTTGATTCTGTGTTTGTTGCAGTTAACTGGTTGGATATTCATTTGAGAGTTAAGAAAATGATCCGATCAGTCTTTGAGGCAGCTGCACAAGTACATCCAGAGATGCATAGTACAACATCAAGGGCCATGTATGGGGTGGATGTCATGCTTGATAGTACTTTCCAGCCAAAGTTACTGGAGGTATGTGCATTTTAAGCAACATCATCTTTTTCTGATTCTTCACTTTAGTATCAAAGAGGGTACTTATTGAAGTCCGAAGTTCTGCAAAATTAGGGATTGCTGAACTCACTTTCGTGCTAGTCTCAAACAGTGATGTGCAAATAATGCAATTTTGACCGCTTTGTAGGTGACCTACTGTCCTGACTGTGGAAGAGCATGCAAATACGATATGGAGGCTATAGTTGGAGACAAGGAAGTAGTTAGAGGCCGTGACTTTTACAATTATGTCTTTGGTTGTCTCTTTTTGAACGAACCAACTCATGTTAGCCCATTGTAATTGAGCTATAGAGGACCAAATAGAATTGTAAGGATTGCGTATCGGCAGTTTTGGGCCATCAAATCCACAAATTGTTCCCTTATGTCTTGTACAATGGAAAAGTTGTAATCTAATCCTTCCGCATAACATGCTGGATTTTGAAAAAGAGTTAGGGCTTTGTTTTGATAGATTTATTCACAATTGTTATGTACAAGTGTAATGCTTCGTGTCCGTTTTCCCTCCCAAATTCTCTCCCCCAAACTAAAGTAAATGAAAGGGAGAGAATTACAAATATGCACGTCTAGAAAAAGTGATGAAGCACCAAGCTACTTGCTTGGTTCAGATGAGGATTGTGATTGACTTCTGAGCGTTGGAATCTTCTTTTGTAATTCAAGATTGGACATCCGCTCAGTCTCCAATGCTCGTTCAAGCTTTAATATCACAAATCGCCATATTCGTTAGCAAAAAATTTCATGGCAAGAAAAATGATAAGCCAACTACATTGACGAAGTGTAGCTATTCACAAATAACTTAAGGAGGGACGATAATACCTTTGCTGCTCGGGTACTCCATTCTCCTAAAATGGCTCTCAGTCTTTCATTCTCCTCTACGTACTGTTCAAATATTAGTTAAAATGGGTAGGAAACCGAAGAATTGAGAAACACTATGCAATACAAGAATCTAACTGCATAAACATGAGGTTTGATTCACAGGATTTTTAGGGTTTCGGGCAGATATTAACCAAATATTTAATTTTGAACATTAAGAGTTAATACAGTAGGATACCTGATTGTTGGTCGTCCGAACTTTCTGGATTTCAGAATCCCTCTCAGCTATCAACGACCGAGCAAGCCTTAACTCAGACTGCAATTGATTCATCTGCAATGTAAATATATCTCTGAGTTAACTATTAACGTTGATTATGTGATGGACAACAACATATGAAACATTCAAATTCATTCTGATGATATCAGCTAACTGCATCAAACTAACAACCTTTGATTTTTCATAAAGTATCAAGAGCAAAACCCACTTGGTATTCAAACCAGGTATTACCTCAGCAGAAACTGTCCGTAGTTCCTGATCACGAGCTGCCAATAGATGGGCAAGGTCAACCTGCAAAAACAGACACTGGTAAGCATTGCTCTGATCATTTTTCATATAACAAATAGCATGAAACAAGATCACTGCTTAAATTACTATGGCAGGCATGCAAGCAAGCATGCAATCCTAAAATATGCATGTCCATGTTAGAAATCACTTCAAGAGCTTTTCCTATTCAACAGAGTACTTCAATAATAGAAATTAATTACCTGAGGTGTGCTTCCATCATTAGTCCGTTCATAGTTACTTAAGCACTCTTGCAATCGAAGGATCTATACAAGTTTAGAATAAGAATAAATAATACAATAATAAAAAGTCGACCAGAAAAAACTTAATATGCAACATGGAACACCAAATTTCCCATGCCACACTTCAGTGACTAAAAGCATTAGTCGAAAACTTGAAGGAACTGCATGTTAGAAGATTCAGTGCACTAATACAACCACCAATCTCAATAATACATCATGAGATACCTCTTCACTCAAAAAATGAAGGTTTTCACGCTGATATTGCAACAAAGCCATCTGCTGATCAGAGAGTCGACCAGCATCATGATACCTGTCACAAGTTATTGCATCAGTTTTAATTGAAGTATTAATGCATATGCCTCTTTGCATGTGCACAAGCAAAAGAAACTTCTTCCCTTAGGATGCATGAAATATAGCAGTTTCCAGTTCATCCAAGTATCTTTGGTTATGCACTGTTAGAAATTCTTGTGATGTATCTCTCTTCCATTCTTATAAAGGTTGGAAGCAAGATTATAGGATATCACTGGAAAAAAGAAAAAGAAAAAAAAAGATGATTACCTCAAACCTTCCAAAGAACTTGAGGGTTGAAGAGGAGAATATAATGACTTTAAGACATCAGGCTGGGAATTTAATGAGTTGTACTGGTGAACATAACCTGGAAACACCGGAATTAAAATGAGATGTGACTACAATCAATTACAAGAGCTCATGTTCTGTATATAGGTGTGCTTGTTGCAGCTCTAGTTTGTGCAAGATATGATACAAATACAGGATTAAGTACAATGTTTGAGTGCAAGGATAACTTTTTCACATAACCAGCATGAAATAATTGTATACCAAATGCCCTGTGAATCTAATTCATTGAAATTCCATCCGGTAAAATGGAAGAATTTTAAATCTCTTGGGCATAAAATTAGGGAATAAAGAGGCTTTTCAAATCACCTAAATAAGGTCTGATTAAAAAACAATCCCTTATTTGATCCAAAAAAAAATTCCCTTATAAGACAGGATCCCATATTAAGCCTCCACCCTCCAGCATGACAACCAAGAAAGCTCCCCAAGTAAGCTAGCAAGTAACCCAATAAATACTTCAAACTTCGTAATTAAAATGCACCTCCCAAATGCACACAAACTCACCAATATAGATACTCATAAAAGATCCGGCACATATTGCTTCAATTACCATAACAGTCCTGCAAAATTTAAGGGTAATCAATATTCAGTCATGGGCCAATTCATAAAAATAGTTTTCATATCAAATTTATCCAACCAAAGTCCACACGACATCTTGATTTCCTGGGCCAGAATTTGAAATCATTAATGTTGTTGAAATCATGGATTTGAAAAGGGGTAAAGAAACTGGAAAGGTGATAACAGATACATATTCTAATTAAGAAATGATTATGGTCAGCATCATAGGTTGGTGTTGATACCTCAAAATTGCGGGCAGAGTAAGGAAACTGATGTGGGGTCTCCAGACCATGACAAGTAACATTGCAGCAGTTCCTAACATTCAAGCAACATATCAGAAACCAAATTCAAATAATAATGATAATAAAAATATTTTCAGGGAGAAAATAACAGCAGAAAAATAATAGGTAGACATATTTCAAGACGGAGGGGGAAAAAACAGACCAAAGAAACAACTCAAACACAAACCGGCATACCATATGAAGTAGCTGCAAAAGGTAGGCGAACAATATGCTTCAACTTCTGGCTGAAACTATAATACCCCTGTGAAACAATGTGCATCTCGTGGTTAACAAACCAAGTAAGTTGTAGCTTATGTAACAGCAAAATTTAGCACCCCAACACAAAAAATACTACCGGACAAGTAATACTGAAACAGGAGTGCAGTTTAGAAGCTGGATCCATTTAATAAGTTTATCAGAGTCACTCCCACTCGGAATATCCAATTCTGAAACTCGGGGGAAGATTAATCCCCCATAAACTAACTTTTGGTGTTGATGACACTTTTGCACCAACATAAACTTTCAGTTCAAAGGGTGTAGCTACCCGGAAGTTGTATTTGTGTATAATGTGGGTTCCATCCTAGGAAATAGAAAACTAATTAAACAAAAAGGTTACCTGTAAGCGTATTTTCTGAACTTGGTATACCAGATACTGCTGAAAGATGCCTGAAAACGTTAAACACAAGCTCTAGTGCATCAAAGATTCAATTTTGATGTGTAAAGAGTAAAATTCGCTATAATTGAACAATTCCCAGATCAAAAATTACAAAAAACCTGTGACTATCAGAAGAAGGACGTTGCAACTACAAAGCAATTGTGGGATTAAATCGCGTATGGGATGAAAAATCCATGGAGCTGCGACAGCCAGAGAAGCATAGCCTACGAGTATAATCAAGTAAAAAACACTTCCGAAAAGGCTTCTCGACTTCCGGTGACCGAACAATGGAGCCTCATGCATTATATCCAGAAACCTTAAAGTGAAGCAATGGAAGCAAAAACAGTGATTTTTGAATCAGGTAGCAGAAAGTGAACACATTCACGCATTGTGTGGCAATCACAACGAAGATTGAGGAAGACTTACAGTGCGTTGTCCTCGGGAGACGTCGAGGGCAACGAAGCGTGCCTCTCTCTCTCTGTTGACATTTCTGATCACAGATTTCTCAATTTCTATGTGAATTACGATCTCTCTTTCAAGTTCGATCCTTTATAAAGAAGGAAGTTCAGTCTCTCAGACTCTCCCAGAGCTTGCTCGTTAATACTTGTTTATTAATTGATTAATTAATTAATAATGAATTAAATAATGTTATTTAGTAAAAAAAAAAATCACTTTAAAACCTTATAGTTTGTAAACTATAGGAGAGAAGAATTTCTCACAAACACACACAACTATGATGTCGTAGCAATTCGAACATGAGATTTCTAATATGCAAATCAATGTCATTTTTCATTAGTTAGATTCCATTTCCATCCTTATAATTTTAAAACCAACCAATTCAAGTACACCTTATAAAATTTGTCAAATTCTTCGATTCCGTTATGTTTTGAGCACAAAATTTAACATAATGTGATAAATTGACAAACTACGTAAACCAAAATTAACTCCTTATCAATTAAAACTGCCTGAATAAAATTGACAAAATTAAGACCCACGGACTAAAGTGTTAAATCGATGACAAACAACATGGAGCAAAATTTAACTTTTTGCCTACTGTTTAAGTGTCAAAGCATTGGGCTTAATATTTGGCCCAAAGAGCCACAGACCAAGTCTCAAAGATGGGTAATGTTACCTTAGCCGGTCAGTGAAACAAGCTCCAACTAAAATCCCCAGTGATAAACCCTAAGGCAGAGCCATCACAGCTTCAGAAAAATGAGCCAAATTTCAGGCTTTTTGCTTCGTCCTCCATTTCTGGTTTTTGGGTTTTTCTTCATTTCATCTTTTATGTATTGTTCTGATTAATTTCGCCCTAACTTTTCAATGAGGCTTTGGATTGCTATGCTGACATTGTTGGGTTTTTCGTCATCTCCATGAAGACTAAGGATCCGAATCGAAAACCCAATTCGATTTCCGGGCGACCTGTAAGAAAACCTGGTCAAACGAATCAAACCCAGACAAGGATTGTGATTGAGAATATCTACGAGAGCAGAGCTGAGCCAAGTGATGGCGTGGCGGTGCAGATGACCCTCTTGTTCTTCACAGCCCGTCCCACCTTTTGGGTTCGAGCCTCCAAGATCGCCATTTCCCATTTCCACAGTCTTGCCCATGGAGGAGCTCGACCTCAAATAGAGGTAATATCAAACCCAGAGGCTTGGTTTGTTAAGGTTGTTTGCACTCTCTTTGTTCGCTCGCATGCTTTGGATTCTTACTTGGGTTATCTTAGTAAGAACTTGACGCCTTCTATTGCTTTCGAGGTTATTAGACGGCTAAACCATCCGAAACTGGGGTTGAAGTTCTTTGAGCTTAGTAGGCTCAGTTTGAGTGTTAACCATAGTGTATGGACGTACAATTTTCTTTTGAGGTCTCTATGTCAAATTGGTCTTCAAGATTCTGCTAAGTTGGTGTTTGATTACATGAGGAGTGACGGTCATACGCCTGATGATTCGATTGTAGAACTATTGGTATCATCCTATGCCCAAATGGGCAAGTTAAATAACGCTGAGAAACTTCTTGATGAGGTTCACTGTGGTGAGGTTAGATTGTCGCCTTTTGTGTACAATAACTTGTTCAATGTGTTGGTTAAGCAGAATAAAGTAGAGGAGGCTGTTTGCTTATTTAGAAAGCATATGGGTTCGCATTGTCGTCCGGATAGTTGGACTTTCAATATTCTAATTCGAGGTTTATGCAAAATTGGAGAAATTGATAAGGCTTTTGAGTTTTTCAGTGATATGGAGAGTTTTGGTTGTTACTCTGATATCGTTACATACAACACACTAATTAGTGGACTTTGTAGGGCTAATGAAGTAGATAGAGGGTGTCATTTACTCAAGGAGGTTCAGTCAAGAATCGAACTTTCACCGGATGTTATAACTTTTACGTCAGTCATATCAGGCTACTGCAAATTGGGTAAGATGGAGGAGGCCTCTGTTCTTTTTGATGAGATGAATAATTCTGGAGTTGGACCAACTTCTGTTACTTTTAATGCATTGATTGATGGATTTGGTAAGTCTGGTAACATGATTTCTGCACTTGCTATGTATGAGAAAATGCTCTTTCATGGTTATCGCCCGGATGTTATAACCTTCACTTCCCTAATTGATGGCTATTGTCGAGCTGGGAAACTGAGTCAGGGATTAAAGCTTTGGCAAGAGATGAATGCAAAATATGTATCACCATCTGCATATACGTTCTCTGTCCTTATTAATGCTTTGTGCAAGGAGAATAGACTACAGGAGGCGCATGAGTTTCTGAGGCAATTGAAGTGGAGTAATGTCATTCCACGACCGTTTATATATAACCCTGTGATAGATGGATTTTGTAAGGCTGGCAATGTTGATGAGGCAAACCTAATTGTGGCAGAGATGGAGGAGAAGAGATGTAGCCCTGATAAAGTGACATTTACCATTCTCATACTCGGGAATTGTATGAAAGGGAGAATGTCAGAGGCAATTAGCAACTTTGAAAGGATGTTGGCGATTGGATGTGCCCCAGACAACATCACCGTAAATTCTTTGATATCTTGCCTCATGAAGGCTGGGATGCCTAATGAAGCCCATCACATTAAGAAAATTGCATATAAGGATCTGAATTTGGGTATGTCACCTTCACGAAGAGCTGATCATTTGAGAGCAAATGCAAAAATTACAGTGGCTGTTTGATTGAAGCTCTACCACAAAAGTGGAATTAGAACACTGCTTGCAGTGGTTGGACAAGATCCTCCCACAATGGTAGTTCAAAGTATCAGAATGAAGCATGGGCAGTTTGTGACACAAATGAGTCGACAACTAGTAAGTGCTTTGCCCATGTTCATTTTTAGTCGAGACTGTATATTAGCCTTGCCATACAACTTTTGCTCAATGATACAATTCTTCGATAGGCCAGCCCTACACTCCGCAAGGTTATACTTGTTCATGTTCCGGCTTCTCAGCCACCATGGATCTAGTGTCATGGCAAGGCAAAGGGGGGGAGGGAGGAATTACAAAGCTTCACTGAACAAATCACTTCGCATAGAATAATTTTTGTGCATACTTGTCTATGTTAATTACTTCAAACGTATCAGCAAGTGCGTATGTCATAATTGATTTGCTCGTCTCGTTTCATATTGAAGGCTTGCAAATGATTCTTCTAAATTATGAAAATCATTGCCACCAGCACCAAGGATGCTTTGCCACGTTACCCGAGAAGTTGCTGTTGTATGAATTTCATCTCATTGAATCTAATATCTCACAAAATATATACTCTCAGCTATTTCTTTTCTTTTTGGCTTTTAAGTTTAGATTCACGGTGCAGTGTTGTCAGTTCTGGATTTAAACTTTGTGCAATACATAAATTGGAAGGAGTGAAATAAAGGATTAAAGTTAACCATGACAACGGAAGCCTAATGAAAGGAATTTTTTTTATTAAAAAAAAAATTTAAGAAAAAGATGATGGATCTCCCAATAGGGTTTCCTAGAATTGGTGATTCTGGTTGAAGCCAAAAATCAGGACTTTAGGATGTCCGGAGGGCAGATGCAGATACAAATTAAAATTAAACACTGATGGTTGTAGATCTGAGGATGGAGCCATTGGAGCTAGGGCGTTGTCAGAGATTACTCTGGTGCTTGGCTTGGTGGTTTCACTGCAAACATGGGCTTTTGGGCAAGTTCTTCAGAGATTACTCTGGTGCTTGGCTTGGTGGTTTCACTGCAAACATGGGCTTTTGGGCAAGTTCTGCAAGTTGAATTATGGGCTCTTTACCATGGAATAGTTTTGGCGTGCCACAAGGAATGGTTCCCACTTGATATTGAATATGATTCTCAAATTGCTGTGAAAATGCTTTCTTCAGAGTTGGAGGAAGAGCATCCAAATTACAGTTTGGTGACTAGCTACCAGAAGATGCTTAGGTCCAAAGATTGCAATATTTCTCATAAATATAGAGAAGGAAATTGCCTTGCGGATAAATTGGCAGCTCTGAGCTCAAAACTAGATTTGGGGTGTAGTTTTTGGGAGGGTGTGCCTAAAGGGTTTGGACTTTATCTACTGGAAGATTTGAGTGGGGTTGCTAGACGTAGAAGTTTGTTTATGTAGTTTTGTTTCTGAGCTTCGACTCCTTTAGAACCTTACAAACAAATCAGAATTTTATCAAGCCAAATAAAGAGAATATATAGATATCAGAATTTTACAACTTATTGGCCTAACGATCCAAGTTGCTTGTGATAGTGGGAACTTGACTTTGTTGTTCTTGTGACCCTTCATCTTAAAAGGAAAAATAAATTGAAATGAGAAAAGCAAAGTCTGTCAGTCATGCTTTGCAATAATCCAGATGGGTGTTATCGTGAGGAAACATGAATATCACCCTAATTTACTTTTCTAAAGGATTAAATTCCATGACATATAAACAGCATCAAGCATTAAATTAAACAATACTAGATTGATATCTTTTGGTGTAATGGCAAGATAATTTAAACAGAGGTCTTTGTTGCTTATCATTACAGTGGCCGTAAATAAGTAAAGTCCTGTATCTTATTTTGTGCAGCAAGACTGAAACATTACAATCACCATTCAAGAATAACCCCTCTTCATCTTCAAGCTGGAAACCTACTACTCCATCAGTACAACATCCCAGACTGAAACAAGATGAATTTTGTATTACATATCCACAGCAAGGCCACCATTTCTTCCAATTCAAGCAACAATCGGGTACGATGCACATGTTGCAACACCTGCAATCCAGATCATCGAAATCAATAAGACTCTGCACCTCAATTCCCAGCCAAGAACATAATCCAAAGTTAACCGGAAAACTTACCGCACATGTTCTTCCCAAACTCCATCTTAAAGTAGCCATTGTCACCCCAGCTTTCTCCCCAAGAGTTCTTGACGAGCCAGAAGGGGACACCGCCTTCCTCTCCATACCCAACTGCAAGAACAGCATGGTTCACATCCTGCCAAACAAAAGATACGAGATTAATTAGGTTAACATTTTACTTAATTTGATAAATGAGCATAGATTAAGGCTACTCTGCCTCATTCACCTAATCAGAAATTAAAACTCACCATGGGACTGCTGCCACAAGTGTCACTGGTGTAGACTCCTGACTTGTAAAATCGGAAGCTTTTGACCACCTGAAAGGCGACGCTGACTGGCCGCACAAACGCAACTGCATGCTTTAGTTCTTGTTCATCACCCTGCATAATTTTCCCTATAACAATTAGAAGCTGCGCTCCTTCAACTTAAAACATCTCAAAAGTACTTATATCAACTACTTCAGTCGGATTAGCGTGTCGAAATAACAAGTTCTTTAATTTTTCTTTTTAGGCTTACCAGGGTGATATTGACAGAGTCGAGCACTTGGACACCAACATTTTCAGCTGAAAATTTGCAAGCCCCGTCGGTTCCAACGTAAGGATATGCAGCCTCGGTGTCGAGACCGCCATTGTATTTGATGTACTCAAAAGCTTGAGATGGCAACCCACCATTGCAGCCAAAGTTATTGAAAGCTCCAGCACAATCCACAAGCTGCTGCTCAGAGAGAGAGATTTGCTTTCCGAATGCCTGCACATAAGCTGCCTCAAGAGCCCCAGTGGTGCTGCAGCAGCCACATATTTATGTTAAACACTAGAAGCACTTAATTAGCACACATTTCATTTAACTATGATCTAAAAGTACTTAAGCTAATTAAACTAACCTGAATGTCCAGCAAGATCCACAGTGACCTTGGTCTTTAACTGGGGTCACTATGCCTTCTTCTCTCCAGTTTTTCTGTACACACACAGAAACAAATATAATACAAGAATTTGAGACCTGGGTTTTGACTGTCCATTTTTAAAATAAAAACAAAAAATAAAAAAAAAGCTTAAGCTTTTAGTATACCGATTCAGGAAGAACGGCATCAGTGAGCTTGTGGCTGCCCTTTGTGGTGGCAGAGCAGTTCTGGGCAGCTCCCAACCTCTGCCTTCTGAACTCTTCCCAACTCCAATCAGCAAAACCTGAGGCGCCATCGATTCATCGACGCAACCACACAATCAAAACCCAATCCCAAATCCCAAAATACTACTCTATTCTCTTTATTTTATTATTATTATTATTATTATTATTATTATTATTATGAACTAAAAACAGAGAAAAACAGAGTAAAAATTGAAAAGGGTGGCTTCAGAATATTATTACGATTGACAGCAAGAGTGTAAGGCAAGCCCTTCTTGTTTGTGGATCGAATCAGCTTCTTATTCTCCGAGAAAATCTCATACCGCAGCTTCATCTCCTCCACGCTCTCATACTTCTTCCCGTACCTTCATTAACACAAACAAAAACAAAGTTAATTAACTAAAACGACAGCTCATGACTTCAGAAACGAATTCAATCTCTGTTTTGATCGGACGGTGATGAGGGACGGAGTGCTGGGTGTGGGAGGCCCACTCACCGGTGAGCGAAGCGGGCGAAGTGGAGGGCGCGGCGAGAGTTGCCGAGGACTTGGACGACTTGCTGCTCCAGCTCACGGAGGCCGTCCGATACCAATCTGATGGGGTTGGACTCGTCGAAGCTCGATGCTGCTGCGCTGCAGCTGATCGCCACGAGGACCAAGGCGGCGGACAAGACCAGCGTCACGCGAGCCATTGTTGTTGTTCTCCGACAACCGTGGTATGTTGGAGGAGAGAAGATAGATGGAGATTCTTGTTGTTGAATATTTGAGGTCACGAGGGTCTCTCTGGTGCTGCAAATGCACTGATTGGGCTTCTTATTGTGCGAAGCTACCAATCAACAGTTGCCACGTTACTGTGGCTGCGGGTACCTTGGGCAATTCTATACGCATGCGGTAATTTACTTTACTTTTAGGCTTTTGGTTCCGTTGTTGATGACGTACGGCATGACCTAAAGATTTTTGGGCCGTTTCTGTTTAACGCTTGTATTGCAAACGCATTTTCCTTCTTATTTATTTATTTATTTATTTTTAGTTTTGTTTAATTTACATTAGAAACATGAATATTGCATTTTGATTTTCCAATTCACAAAACAATCACGATAAAACTATTGAATATCTTGTTATAAAATTAAAAAAAATTCTTAAAGGTGATTTACAATATTAGATATCATATGAAGTGAATGTAAAAGTGTATCTAGTTTGGTTTTGTTTGTGTGGATTTAATCGGACACCGAATTAATGTAACATCATAGTTTTGGAATGAATGGTAAAGTTTTAAGCTTTAAATTAGTCACATAACCGAACCACAGTGATTCATTTAGTGGCCCGTTTGGTTTGGTATTATATGTCAAAGAGAAATTTATAGATGATGTCAAATTTGAATGTGCTAGAGATTTTAGTTTTGGTGTTAAATGACTGATATTAATGTTCGTGTTGAAATATGATAGTAAATTGTGATAACCAATTTTCTTTAAAATGCAATTAATATAGGAGGGTTTTCAATAGACCAAACCGAGTTGAACTCAATCAAACCAAACTAATTGTTGTTGAATTCAATTTACCTCAAAGTACACTATTTGTGTGTAAAACCAAAGGGTTATGCTAGGGAGACCAACTTTAGATACCAACTTGTGTACCATCTCTGTAATAGAGGTGGAGCCCACCAATACAATGGGTCTCACACTCTATTAGAGAGATGATACACAAGTTGGTATCTAAAGTTGGTCTCCCTAGCATTTTTCAAAACGAAATCAATGGGGCAGATTTTTGATGTTAGATGTCTCTTACAACTAGTCCCCAAATTTATTTTTCAATTTGCTCCTACAGATGCCAATAATGTTGCACATTTATTGGCAGGATTTGGTTTAGTTTGGTTAAGAGCATCTCCAATTGATGTGTCAAACGTGCCACATAGACATTTAACGGCTAGAAATAGCATCTCACATCACTCCAACCGATATGTCAAATATGATATGGAATGAAGGCTGGAGATTGAGATGTTATTTTTGACATCCCAAAAGTAAGATGTCAAATGAATATTTTATTATTTTTTATTTTCTTTTCTTTTTAATTAAAAATGAATCAACACTAAAAAGTAATAAAATAATAATTTAATTTGACATATCGGGTGGAAGTGTAAGAGCATCTCCAATGGAGATGTTAAATACCAAATATCAAATTTAAATTTGATGGTTGATGTGGCAATTTGATATTTACACATTTTTATACTTCACCCGATCTGTCAAATAAATAATTATTGTAACAGTCAAATCATTTAAGATAAAGAAGAAAAATAATATATAAAAGGAAAATAATAAATTACAGTTACAACCAGCTGTCTTTAAAAGATAATAAAATATTCATTTGACATCTTGTTTTTGGGATGTCAAAAATAATAGCTGAACCTCCAGCCTTCATTTCACATCAACTTTGACAATTCAGTTGGAGTGATGTGAGATGTTATTTTTAACCGTTAAATGTCTATGTGTCACTTTTGACATATCGGTTGGAGATGCTCTAAAGCTATGTAAGATGTCAAATTGCCACATCAACCATCAAATTTAAATTTGATGTTTGATATTTGACATCTCCCTTGGAGATGAGTATTCTTTGTTTCAGATAGAGGTACTTCTGATTTTATTCAGGACGCCCTGTTAATTGATTATATAAATCTAAGTCAATATCCATTATCCCCCATTTATATCTCTTGATTTTCAATAAATGAATCCTCATATTTTCCGTGCTTCCTATTGGAAAAAAAAAACAAAAAACAAAATAACCTTAAATGAAGGTACCAATTTGAAGATATTTATGTAAATAATGACGACTGGCCTAACTGCTCTCTCTCCCTCTCTACGCTCAATAATTGAAGCAGTTAAACTTTTGTTTGTTTTTATTGTCAAATTGATGGAATCAACCACCATCACTATTTTGTCCATCTTCAAAGAAGAGCCATTGATTTTACCCCCCAAAAAAAAAAAAAAAGATATGGGACAGCACGAAAATGATGTTGGATAGTAAAACAAACCAAGGGGATGAAATATCATTGAGAATTGGGCCCACAAGAGGGATTGGAGAACCAGTGTGGACCTACGAAATAAATATGTATCTAGACGTCATTAAAATTTCTAAAATTCTCAAAATCCAAAACAAAATCTTTATTATAAAAAATAAAAAATAAAAAAAAAACCCCAAGACTTTCAGTTTTCTAGGTGTTTTCATCTAAGGCCCTGTTTGGTTCATGTAATGAATTTGAAGGGAAATCATTTCCCACGTCTGGTAATGCTGGAAAAGTAACTGAGAGATATCACTTTATTTCCTTTCTTATGTTTGTTTTGAGTAGGAATGGAAAACGAAATTTGTATAAATTTTCAATTATACCCATATTAAATATAAAAAAATGCATTTAATAATATATTGTAATTCTAAATTGTTAATGGGGACAAAATGGTCATGAAAAATGTTTATTTAATATTAGCTCATTTTCCCAAACTTTCCCATGAGGAGGGAAAACAAAACCCAAGTTGAGAGGATGACTTCATTTTCCCCCTTACTTTCTCATGGGTCAGGAAACGATTTCCCATGCCTAGACTTACCAAACATGGGAAAGTAATTGATTTCTCATCCCCAAGTCTCATTTCCTATGAACCAAACAGAGCCTAAATGATCGGATGGTGAAATCAATCGACCAATTTCTATTCTACCTAAATCCTTATCACATAAAATGTTGTCATGCATGATGCATTTTACACATCGATGTCAATTATAAAATAATCTTTTAAGCAATTACAGACATTGACGAAAATGTCAATATTGGAAAATGTAAGTGAATTAGATATTTTATATGATTTATGTGGTCTTTGTTTTTTTCCTTCTTTCTATTCACCTTAACTTGTGGCAATGAGAGTTTGAATGAAATAAGTGTCCTATCACTTGAGTTGAAAATTTCTATATGTCATTCACTTCTTCTTGTTTTCTTCTGAATTATAGCGATTGGGGAGGGGGGCACTTTTCATGAGAATTGAACGGGTGACAAGGGGGAAAGGGGGAGGAACCTCACCGCTGAGGTAAACCCCTCGGTCGTATGTTATTCACTCTTAAACCTTCATGAAATTAATTTGCCACAAAGAAGGCAAATTATGAAGATCAAAATAGCGTGGTACTTAGGCCATCCCCAATGGGGGCTCTAAAATGGGCTGCACCACCTTTGGGTTCTAATAAATAAAAACTCTTTGAAAAAAACCACTCACAATGGTATGAGTTTGGAGAGCTTCTACAATGAGGAGTTAAAGTGAGGAGGTTATTTGAGGAGACCGACTCGACCGTCAAAACATTTAAAATATTTAAGTCCCATGATTTCTTTATATTTGTTGATGGTGAGATTTGACCTCCTCAAATAACCTCCTCACTTTAAGTCCTCATTATAGCCTTTCCGATGAGTTTGGGGCTCTAAATGGTAGAGCCTAACCGGAGCTAAATCTAAATCTGTGTACTTGATTGCAACCCTTGAAACTCGGTGGGGACCACATTTGGAAAAAGCTGTCAGCCCAACAATTTTTTGGCTCACTTGCCTTGCGACTCAACGGCGTCCTACTTGCCCATTTTGATAGTTGCTGACTACTTTTTCTATTTTTTTAAGCAATTGGCCAATTGCAACAAGCTTGTCTCATTGTTTTTGGTTTTTTTGTTGATGAAAGTTACTCAGACTACAACCCTCAAGTTCTAAATGGCTAGGTTTTTTTTTTTTAAAAAAACTATGTTTTCAAATCTTGTCCAATTTTTTAATTTTTTAAGGTTGAAATGTTCACACAAAAAAAAACTAACATAAATAAATTAACCCAAAAAAAAAAAATAGCACATAAATTAAATTACATCATACAAAAAATATCAAACCCCTAATATAGAGCCTCAAATATAAAGTCTCTCACTGTGAGAGAGATGCTTTTAGAGTCCCATAAATTCCATTGGAGCTCTAAATGAGGCTTTATAAATCCTTTTTAAAGCCCCAACCATTGGGAATGGTCTTAGTACTTACTCATATACCAATATCTAAACATGTAGATGGATTTTTAAAATAATTTTTGTAAATATCTCGAAGATAATTATTTTCAACCACTAAATAAAATAATTTGAAACATCCATTAATTCTTTGTTTTTTGGTGCATGAATACATCCATCTATTTCTTCAGTCTAGATTTATCGATATGCGCTTTTGTCCAATAGTTGGTTTGAAATTAACATATGGTATGGTGACCGGAGAATCTTCATTATCTTGGACCATTAGAATATTCAAAATCCGGATAATAGAATTATCGTTTTTAGTGTATTTTTTTTTTTTTGTGGACTTTTTTTATTGAATGACGATAATATACTAAATTCACACGTACTACACGAATGCTAGGATTCGAACCCAAAAAGCTTGCCTAGTAGTAGAGCAATTGCTCCAAACTACCATATACTAGTGAGTCCCTTGCTAGTATAACTTTGTTTGTTTGGTAAAACTTTTTGAATTTGTTAAAGTTCGTTTCTCGTTCTAAATTACATAATATATTTTTTTTCTATCATAAAAAATTCACTCCATTAATCTACTTCCAAGGGATCCAACCAAATTAGGAATCAAACAAAACATCTTTGTCTTCATAAGGAGAAGAGATGCCATGAGACTATAATCATCTAATTTTTGGCAAGCAGATTTGGTTGGTATTATTTCATCATACGGATCTTGGACCAAAGTGCTCGTATGTTTCCATTCACCCCCATATTTTATCTTCAATATCAAACTTTGCATGAAGCCCAACCATGCGCTTTGGGCCCTCCTATGTTTCCATTCACCAAGAACCCAACCCTTAGTTCACCAAGCAACCAACCACATGACCTC